CAACTCAAAACAACCCTTTAGAACAGTGGAAATGCCCCATGGGTTTTCAGAAGGAGAAAGCCTCTTTGTAATCCTGAGTAGTGGCTAGTGGGTTTGAACCCCTGCCATTGAGTTAACAACCCTACTCCACCAGGGCTCCTTTTATGTAGGAATGCATTAAAATAAATGCATCCTGGATAATTCTCTCATTAAGTGTGAAGCATCTTGTCTAAGTGAAATTCTTACTTTACAGGTTACACAGTAGTTACCATTTCCAGAATGTCTTTGTGACTTTTGGGTAATATTCTCCCCTGAACAGATGAGGAAACTGAAGGTCAGAGTAAAAAAAGACTAGGATGACTTGTCCGGAGTGGCCCAGGGTCAGGAAAGGAGCTGGGGTCCAAACCCAGCTAGTGTTTGGACTGGTGTCTACTGCTTCCCAATGCTACCCTGCCTTTTCTGTCTCAGTCTCCCCGGATAGCCAAGGTTCCCAGAGATGGCCCTTGGTTGCTCCCTGGGACATAGGAGAACCAGCGAAAGGGAACTCTTCCCCACCCCCGATTCTACTCAGGTGCAGAAATAACTTAAAAAGGGAGTTTGCCTTCGAATTGAAGCCAAATATTAGGTGTTTCTTTCATTTCATTAAAAAGTTACTTAGTCGAAAAAAGAAGTTACCTAATCTTTGTGTTGTTCCCTATGTAAAAGCTGGGCAGAATTCTATCAGGCAATTGCCTCAAAGTTATAATCTGGAAAATCTTTCTGTAATGAAACCCATATGTCATGGGTGAAAGGTGCAGAGCCCTGGCAGAGAGGGCCGGTCTCAGAGGGAGTCTGCACCCAATCTCGTTAGCCAGGGTGCCTCTGGTAATCCCTCATCCCCTCACCGGTGAGAAATCAATCTGTACCACCGAGTCTCTTTCAACCAGCCACTCGAAAATTTACTGCCAAGGAGACAGTCTGGGGAGAGTCCGCATGGAAAGGGAGCAGAGGCAAGGCTGAGGGGAAGGTGTCTGGAAGGTCTCAAGCAGAGATGAAGCCACACACCACTTCCCAGCCTGCAGAATAGAGCCCTCCCGTCAGCCCTGACCTCTCTACGTATTATAGCCAGCTATTTACAGCTGCCATGAACCTGACCGACAACTCTTGAGAAAGGGCCCCCCCCCCCACGCAGGAGGGGGAACGACACAACACACAACAGAATAAACCTCAAGTTGATTGTAGTTGATCCATTTAGGAGGGTCTCCGTGGTTCCTTTGCCCACACTGCAGCAGTTCATGTGTTGGCCCTGTGGTGACCATCTCCATTAAGGATCTCCCAGTGTGTGTTCCCCGCACTGCAGAGAAGGGCCTGCCATTCAGGACTGAGTGTGGAGGTCACGTTTCCCTTGTGCGGGACATGCACACGGTATTATCAGCCAATGGCTAGGATGTGGTAGGCAGTGGTTTCTTCCTGTTGACTCTTGTAATCCCAGAGAAGAAATCCAGAATTGAGTGTAGTCAACCCATTTGACTGACTTAGGTGAAACTCCCTAGGATTTTTTCTCTGTAACATGTGTAAAGAACCAGAAGAGAAGGGAGGGACTAGAATTGCCAAACTCAGGACCATGTAACCTTAACTACAGCCTTCATGCTGTTAGGGAGAAGACAAGCAAAAGCTCAATAAGGGATGGGGATTGCTTTCTCTCCTCTGCGAGCAGCCATAGCCATCCCTTAGGGATCCTCTTCTCCCCTCCAGAGATTCGGAATTCTTGGTGGAGAGGGCGTTGTGGTGTTTTGTTTTTTAAGTAAAACGCATTTACATATAAAACTATTCTAGAAGGTGTAGGTGTGTGTGTGTGTGTGTGTGTGTGTGTGTGTGTGTGTGTGTGTTGTGGAGAAGAGGAATGCAGAATAGTAGCAGAAGGCTGTCTACCTACTCCTAATGGGATTTTGTAGCAGCATGTGTGAGTTTGTTTCAGAAGTCAAAAATGAACAGATGTTGGTATAAATTACCTCTGTGTCTGATGTCTTGCAAATTAAAAGCGCGGTTGGCATCACTAAACAATTCCACTCGGCATGGGGGTACGGTTGCGGCTGATGATTGCCGTGGCAGGTCGGTACGGGCCTTCACATGGCAGGAGAGCAAGGGTAAAGAAATGAGGGATAAAACGAGGGGTATGTGAATTAATCAGAAATGTTAACATCGCTGATGACAAGCAAACAGGAGGGCACTCGCTCTGGAGCAGCCCCCAACCCACAGCAATCTCTCTGGGCGCTAAAAGGGGCTGGTGCTTTGGAGCTGATTTATAGGGCACAGCCCTCTTTTAGGGAGCGCCTGTGTCATGCATTCGTATATCTCCTATATGGGACTGGCGAGTAGGCAAACTTTCTCTGCTCACGTGGAGAAGATGATGGCTTTTGAATTACTTCTATTTTTACAGTGGTTTCTTACTCTCTGTGTACTTGGATTAGGTTGGAGGGGGAGGAATGATTGAGTGGAAGAGGAGTTCTTGAAAAGGATTGGTTAAATTCAATGAGAGCTTGCCACCGGGAGACTTTGGAATAGCCATTTATTTCCCCTTATAGACTCTTTTGATCCCTTTAATAGATGGGCTCTCTTTTTATTCTGAGTCATGAAACATTGACCATTCTCTCATTTGGAGAAGACAAAACCTGTAGAGAATCAAGAGATATTCAAGGCAGCAACAGAGATCTTTAATCTCATAATTAGTAGAGTAAGATCAGTGGTGTATCCAAGGTCTAGGATTTGGGGAGAAAGGCTTGGTTTTGCCTAGTAGAGTGTTTGTATTGGTTCATGCCTGCTTTCCAGAGCTGCTGCTTCTAACCAGTTGCAGGATCACTTAGTACAGTGCTTAAAAAATCCATAATAATCACTCAAGAAACCAGTACCCACCCCATAGAAATAAACGGTGAGACTTGTTCTGCTTGAAAGTACGGTAAATCCCTAGAGGATCAGGCTGAGAGAGTCCAAGGAAGGGGTTTTGAGGTTGCTTATCACCACTCACAGACTACTCATCTGCTCCTGAAAAGTGTTAGGTTAGTGATAACCCTTTTATCAAGCATATCCATTACTGTTCTGTATCCAAGAGAAACATGAGACAGCATTAACATGCTCCCCATTTTACAGATGAGGAAACTGAGACTCAGATGTTTTATTTTTTTAAGTTTTTTTTTAATTATATCATTTTATTGGGGGCTCTTACAGCTCTTATAATAACCCATACATCCATTGTATCCCGCACATTTGTACACATGTTGCCATCATTTTCAAAACATTTTCTTTCTACTTGAGCCCTTGGTATCAGCTCCTCGGTTTTTTCTCCACTCTCCCACCCTGGTGAACTCGAGGCTCAGAGATCTTACCCAGCTGCAAAACTCTGGGGCTGGGGCTTAATTAACCTGAGTTCAGACCTTCTGTCCTCTGAAAGAAGCCCATGTAGACAAAACCACTTGCTTGCTTGGGTTTCCTCTAGGGTAGGTAGGCTTTTATCCCCAGCTTTCTTCTCCATTCCCCTGACATCATTTCCATCCAGGGAACTAATTTCTCTTGACAGATAAGCAAGGTACATTGAAAAGGAATCCCATGATGCAGAGTATGGGGAACCAGGAGCTGGTCTTATTACTTGCCTGCAGGAGGAGGAAAAGACTAACATTTAAGGTGTTCCACGTGGTGCTGGTTCTTTTGTGTATGAGGGGAGCTTCAAAAAAATTGTAAAAATGTTTTACTATCTTTTAATTCCACTTTCCAGACGTTGTGGAAGTCTGCTCTTATTATCACTCACCCAGTCGGCAGATACCAAGACTAACTCCGCCATGTTTTATTTTGTCATGTGCCAATCAGTAAGGGATGATTAAACAGGCAGGAGCCCCTTCATCCAGCACCACTTGGGTGGACTTGGGAACAGAAGCAAGGAGGCGAGGGTGAAGGTCCTTCTCCTTTCAGGGGCCCCACGAGCCACCTAACTTCTTTGACCAAGATGGAGACATGTTCTTGAGAGGAGAGGGCCCCCACCTGCCTGTCCTTGCTCTGCAGCGTGGTTGCAAAAACCTCTAGAACTAGCCTCTCTCTTTTACCCAGGATGGAGACAGGTTCTTGAGACCTAGTAGGACAGTCTGCTTCGTGCCTGCTGCATGGACAGAGGCTTCTGACCTCAGAGCCAGCGATCCGGAAATGTTTAGCACTAATAAATCCATTTGAGAGAGCTGCAGGAATGACTTTATAGGATGAGGATGGAGAGGAGAGGCTGTGAAGTTTTGTGAGACTTTGCTCACTAGAGGGAACACTAGAGAGGCCCTTATAATTCAGAAATGCTTTTCTTTCATTCCGGAACCTCTTATGTAGGAAAATAGCTGTATAAGCCCTCTGGTAACTACAGCATCCAAAGATTGATGGTCCTGAAAGTCGGAGAAAGACACATAAACCCTGCCTAGCTATATTAAATATCTAAGGACTGACAATGCCAAGAGACAGAAGACCAAAGCTCTATAAACCCTACTTTATGACACCCTCCCCAGATGAACTGCACTGAGGGAATATAAACCCTAGGATATTACAGCACGTGGGATGACCCCTGCTGAGAGGGTGGTAACTGATCTCTAATTTTGAGGTGAGATTATAAATGTCCAGAGACCAACAACTCAGGGAAGCCTTGGTTGGATTTTAGCTTCTGGGAGCAACACCACTCTCCTCCTCCCTCCCTCTTCTGCCCCCAGAGAGTGAATGTGTGGGTACTGAGCTATGTTCAGGGGTAGGGGAGTTCTCTGGCGTGTTTTGTGGGTTGATGATCGTCTTCTCTCAATGGGCCTCCACTTTTAGTAGTTGCCAACCTCAGGGGAGCTGTGTCATACTTTAGTTGGCAGTTGTGTGTTTTTCCCCTCAGAGGTGAGTGACCTTTGAATCTTTACAGATAACCAAGTTGACCTCTAATCTAACTCCCATCTGCTTTTTTTATTCTACCTTCCTGTGATCCCCTTTCCATATTTAAGGTTTTAACTCATCTTTCATTTGCTTTGTGATTCCAGCCAGAGAGATGACGCGGGGGAAATTTCTTAACATCCTAGAGAAGCCCAAGAAGTAGCAACTGCTTGTGGACAGGATGACCTGGGAACTGAAGCGGTGCTCCCTTCCCAGTGAGCTCTGACCATGCAACCTCACTGCTGCCTCCGGCGGGCGAGTCTGGGGAGTACACTCCAGGGCGACACCCTTCCCTGCTCCTGGCACTCTGCCTCTGAGAACTGCTGAGAACTGCTGGCAGCAAGAGAATACGCTCCACCCGAGGAGAGGATCCGGATCGTTGCAGTTACTCAGTCAGCTTCCAGACTTTGACGATCTTAGCCTGGAATGTGGCCAACACCAGAGGGTGTATTGCTCTTAAAGCTTAAAGTCCTGCTTCCTTGTTTTCGGGCAAGATTCCAGAGCCCCAGAATCTTAGAGCTGATTTGATTCTATCATGGCAAAGTCAATGGGGTGTTCTTTTGAGTTGCACTTGATCTATTAGGAAGTATTTCTGATGCAGGGAAACCAGGATCTGAACCAATCCAGGCAGCCCAACCTGTGATCTCTCCAGTATGTCTAGGTTCTAACAATCCCGACAGAGAAACCAGTGTCGTCTCAGACGGTACAGCTGCTTTTTCAGTTCCCCACATTCTCCAAAGCATTGCTCACCGCCATGTCCTGCCTGCAGGTCCTGCACAGGTGAGTGGGAGCAGCGCGTGCCCCATGCCGTGGGCTTGTAGAGGGAAGGCTCAGCAAGGTGACGTTGGGTTCTAGACCTCAAGACCAGGATGAGAGTAGCAGAAGGACCCAGTGAGTTCTAGAGAATCTGTCCCCGATTTAGAAACCAGAAAGCCTAATGACCCTTAAAGAAATGCCCTGCAGGATGGCGGCAATATTTTGTCCCCCACAGCAGCACATTTCAGACCCTTCACTGACAGAAATACACATGAGAGAGACAGATTTCCTGACAATACAGCTCCTCTGACAAAGCTCTTTGCCAGTAATTTGTCCTGAGTTCAAACCTGACCATCTGGCCCGTGGTGTCCTACACTGTCTGAAAGAAACTTCTGTGTGGCAGTGGCCTTGGTGTGATGGTGTTTGGACACGTGAAGCAGTGGTCAACCTTTTGGCCCTGGGTCTCTGTGCTAAGATCCAGCGCCCTCCAGTGTGGTGCCATGCTCCCCAGGCTAGAATTCATGTTGGGGTTTTCTCTCACGTGTGTCCTGTGTGTATGCATGCCATGTCGCTTACCGATCACGAGACACCGAGGACAGGGAAAGAGGAATACATTCTGCCTGGTGCTCCAGAGAGGCTTTGACTTTGTAGAGGTTTTGGCTTTAGGTTACCCTATATACTCAAGTATAAGCCGACCCGAATATCAGCCAAGGTACCTAATTTTACCACAAAAACTGCATTAAAAATGTGCTGGAAAATCTGGCTTATACACGAGTATATACAGTAAGTTTATTGACACTCCTTTATCTCATTGAATACGGTTAGCGAGGGAGTAAGTGAGGTGAGTGAGTGAGAGAGGTGAGTGAGTGAGTTTAAGAAGTAGTGCCCTCGTGTCTCGTTCTTCTTTGGCTCTGTTTTCGAGAGTTGACGGCATCAGGCACTTTTAAATGCTTGGGGAAACCTGGGATTATCAGCAGATTTCTCCCAAACCGACTTAAGACTGTAACCTGAAGCCCCGAAGCTGGTTTCCTGGTGTTTGCTTGGGCCTGTTTCTTTCATTGTCATCTTATTCACCAGCACTTAATGTAAGTAGATGTTTTAGAATTGCAATATTTATTGGTTTTATATTTGCCATCCTTAGAAATGTTAATGATGTATTTTTATATTGATAATATAAATTTATGTAGTGTGTGCGTGTATGTATTTCAGAATGTTAGAGAATTGTGCCCTGTATATGATGGTTTCTGTGTCTTCATAATAAACATGTCCCTTTTATAGGAGACCGAGTAAAAATGTGTCTGTTTGCAGACTTCCCATTAAACATGCCTGACTGAATACAAATACTTCCCGGCCACCCAGCAAAGCGCTGAGTGTGAGTTCCTTTACAGCCCTGCGCAGGGACTGGAGACGAGACGCCACTAACCCGGCGCCTCTGCAAGATGTTCCCCTCGCAGGAAGCCGCTCCGCTGCCAGAACCACGGGGTCTCAGTGCTGGCCTGCCTGACAGCTGATTACCGCGATTGCTTCTAAGAGGGAAGAAGAAACAAGGTGATGGGATGGACGCAAAATGGGAATCTCTCGCCCATTGGCAGTTTGCCTGCTCCAGACCAGAGTGAGCCCTCTTCTTAGAGAAAACATCTCCTTTGAAGGAGAGCGAATCACTTCTCATCGTTGGTTCATTTGTTTCCAAGAAAGCATCTGGGTGGACAATAGATTTCTGTGATCTAGAAGTGCTTGGCTGGCTGACCTGCTGAGCGACTGAGTAAGTAGGTAACCAGGAACAACATCAGGAATGGCTTCCTCTCAGGGCCTTTCAAGGTGACAGCCAGCCGTCCTGCAGTGCATCTGCTGTGGCTGGACAGCAGCATCCTGCGAAAGCACAGCATCGGGGCTCAGAGCCACACGCTCACGTTCTCATTCAATTCTTTTACCCGTCGCCTCACTTCTTTGGACTGGGGGCCGGGGCAGCAGCGGCAAGGTTCCACATTCCTCACAAGTCCCTCGCAGTGACATCACCCTTAACAGAACTCATTGTGCTAGTGAGTCCTCCTCATCCCCCTTCCACCCAGCCCAGGTCACCAGGAATAGACAGAGCTCTCATTACCTGCTGATTTGGGGTTTGTCCCGGAAGTGGAGTCCTGCGGTACTGGCTTCTCGTCTCAGGGTTCAAGCCTCTGCTGATGTGCTTGGCTTTCCTTCCCAGGACATGTGTTGTGTTGTAACAAAATCCCAGCATTAATTTTTTGGTTCCCTATTCCCTAATGTAATTTTGCTAGTTATGAATCAGGTGACCCTTGTGAAAGGGTCATTTGAGCCCCAAAGGGGTTGCGACCCACAGGTTGAGAATGTCTGCTCTAGCACGTCATTAGCCGGGCCAAGCTTCCAGAACCGTCCCCTCCTGCGGACCCTTTCTCCTAATGAGAGCTGGACGAGGGGCCCTCACCACACACTGCCTCCAAAGAATATTCTGCTTTGTCCCCACCAGTAACCGGACCTGACAGGATCTCTCTGCCCACTTCCCTTCTAATTAGCACAATTCCAGCGTGGCTGGAGCCAGCAAATGGAGCAAAGCGATCAAAAGCGATCGGACAACCGTAGCGAATGGCAAACACAAAGAAGGCCATTCCCTGTAATTAGGTGAGACAATTCCTCAGTCTTTTCTCGGCTGGAGTTGGCCGATAAGACCCTTGCTGTTTGGGTCCCCAGCAACACAAGTCCCATGTCTCCCTGGATACTAATAAGCCCCAAAGTGCCTTCCGCTTCACACACCCCTAACCAGAGGATAGATTGGAGGGGAGGGGGACGGCAACTCCAACAAGCTGCAGCGTTTCCACAACAGCAAGAAGCAAACATTGGGGGGGTGGGGGACGGCGGGGGATGCAGTGGTTTCCGTGTACCCTGGCCCCTGTCACTTGAAGCACTTCGAATTTGTAACTCCCAGGGAAGCCTGCTCTCCACTGTTGACCTCAATCCTGTTCATTCACGAACTTCTGACTCTTGGCCTCCTCCCCTGCTACCCGCCCCCTCCCCACCTGGGTGATGCCGTTCCTGGAACCACTTGGAAGTCCATTGCCAAACAAAGCACTATACCACAACTGGATGGATCGTTAAAATCTCCGCTTGCTAGCATATAGCTCATAGGCGACTTCTGCCCTTGAAGAGTTCATGACCTTCAAGGGGAGCCTCTTCCTGCACTTCCAACACCTATCATTCTTGTCTCTTGCACCTCCTCAGGCCCTGCCAGCTTCCTTATCCTCTCACTTGGGAGATGATTTTTTAAAACAAAAGTAGCCCATCATCTGCCAGGGCAAGAAGCTGTAACTGTTGCCACTCCATGAGGTTTAGAGGCTGGCCCCTTACTAGACACAGCTCCCCCAGGACTGCCCCCATTATAGGGATTACTAGGGGTGACACAGCCATGAACTTGGTCATAGCCAGGGACAAAGGAATGCAGGGAGAGAGTGGCGGTTGGAATCTCAATGAAAACCAAACTCTCAGCTGACTGGCACTGCCTTTATTTTCTGCTTGCAGCCTCACTCCCTACCGGAGACTTTCCGGACAGCCTCCACTCACAGAGAACACTTGATTCTCAAGAGTCCGGGAACCAAGGAACTCACAGCGTCATGGCTGTTTTTGTTTTCCATCTTCCCTGCAACTCGGAGAGAGAACTATTAGGTTTTTAGGCTTTTTAATCACTAACTTCTGGAACATGTCAAAGAATCGATCCAATTCATCCAGCCTCCCAAAGTTCCTTTAATTATTAACAGAGCTTAGGACCCACCGTGCCAGGTGCAAAATAAGTGCTCAGTAAGAATTTGTTGAAGGAATGAACCGTGCCTTGGTATTCGGTGTTCACCATCTGCTCAGGATGCCCCAGAGAGTGAGGGTTTGGAAAGAAGCAAGAATGAGCCTGTAAGTCACATCTCTCTGAACCTGTTCTCTCAGGACCGTTGCCACTTAACAAAAGATGGACTTGGATAAAGGTCTAGACCCTGAAGTCAAGCTGCTTGGGTCCAGATCCTGTTTCTGCCATTTAGTAGCTTTGGGAAAATTGCTTAATCTCTTTGTGCCTTAGTTTCCCCATCTATAAAGTAGGCCCACTCATAGCCCCTAAGTCCTATGGTAGTTGTGAAAGGTTAAGTGAGTAGTTGTGTTTGGAACAAAACATGGCCCACAGTACTCAAAACATACCTGATTAAGAGTGTATAAAATGAGATATAGTATCTAATTTCTACTGTACTAAATTTATAGCAATGGGTAGTCCCTACGGTTCTACCCTGTCCCGTAGGGTTACTCTGTTGTCATGGCAGTGAGTTTGGTTTGGGTTTGAATCGTTCTTGAGAGATGCCACGAGTTAGGTGCTGGGCCACTGACAAAAGGTTGGAGATTTTGAGTCCACTCAGAAGTACCTTAGAAGAAAGGCACCTGAGATTCTTACACTGCCACTGGATCCACAAGACTGCCCACCCACTGGCCTGTGATCTTCTTGCATTCGCTGTCATTGCATGTGTTGTATGAGTCTGAAGAGGACTTTATAGATTGGTATTGGACATATGGGCTAATATCAGACTTATGGACTTGATCTGGACTGTTTTCTCAATATTCAATTGCTCTTGTAATACAGATCTTTCCTATATTAAAAAAGAAGAAGAAAGGCTTAATGATTAAAAAACTCAAACTCAGGAGGTGGGAGGGGAGGAAGAAAAAAGAAAAATGAGCTGATTCCAGGAGCCCAAGTGGAAAGCGAGTGTTTTGAGAATGATGAGGGCAACGAATGTATAAGTGTCCTTTACCCAATTGATGTATGTGTGGATTGTGATAAGACTTATATGAGCCCCAATAAAATGATTTAAAAAAAACCAACTCAAACACACTCTAATCCAGTCAATTCCAACTCACAGCAGCCTATAGAGTAGGACTGCACCTAACTCATGACAGGAGTAGAAAGCGCTGTCTTTATCCCTCTCTGTGGCTGGTGGTTTTGAATTGCTGACCTTGTTGTTAGCACCCCAATGCATCACTCACTGCCACCAGGGCTCCACACTTCTGTAAAACAACAATTAAAAACTATGACGTACAATTCTGCTTTGACATGGGGTGCCATAAATCAAAATGAGCACCATACCAATTCAGAAACTCACTGCCATTGAGTTGATGCCGACTCAGTGACCCTATGCGACAGTGGTTCTGAACCTGTGGGTCGCGATCCCTTTGGGAGTCGAACGACCTTTTCACAGGGTCGCCTGATTCATAACAGTAGCAAAATTACAGTTATGAAATGGCAATGAAAATAATTTTATGGTTGGTGGAGAGAAAATGTTTTGAGAATGATGAGGGCAATGAATGTACAAATGTGCTTTACACAATTGATGTATGTATGGATTGTGATAAGAGTTGTATAAGCCCCTAATAAAATGATATAAAAATCTTTTAAATAGATTTAATACAAAAGATAATTTTATGGTTGGGGGGGTTACCACAACATGAGGAACTGTATTAAGGGATTGCGGCATTAGGAAGGTTGCGAACCACTGCTATAGGGCATAGTAGAACTGCACCTGTGGATTTCTAAGATTGTAACTGTGTATAGTAGAAAGCCCTGTCTCCCAAGGTGTGGTTGGTGGCTTCAAATTTTGGACCTTGCAGATGGAAGCCCAACCCACAACCACTATCCCAAGATTCCTCCCATACCAAATGGTTACCTTGGGGGGGAAAAGCTCACTTCACACTAGCCTTCAAGAGAGCTGGCATTTTGTAGGATACTTCTGCCCTCTATAGGAGCTCCGGTGGCATAGTGAGTTATGTATTGGGCTGCTAACCTCAAGGTCAGCAGTTCAAAACCACCAGCCAATCCTCAGGAGAAATCTGAGACTTTCTACTCCCATAGAATTACAGTCATATAAACCCACAGGAATAGTTCTACCCAGTGCTATCGATGGGGTTGATATGATTCGTAATTGGCTCCATCCCAGTGAGTTTGGTTTGGTTTGGTTTTCTACCCTCTATCTCTGTAGGGCTCCATCTCTTTCTGCCCTGGCAGACCCCCCTTGTCCCATGGATGTTGACTCCACAGACAATGGCATCGAAGAGCAGGCATTGCTGATAAGCAAGAGAGGTAGAGCTGTTCTTTGTGACACTGGCAGACTTTCTGAGTGTTCTTGATGGTAATCTGCTCTAAGCATCTATGCTATTCCAGCCGCTGTATTGGAACACGCCTCTGTGGTGTGAGGTTTGTCAGATTCTCGCTCCGTTTCCAGGGCTGAGCAGGGTCCGTTCAGGC